GCTTCAAGCCAGCTTTCGCACTCTCCTCTTTCACCCTCATCAAGAGGCTCTTTAGTTCTTCTTCACTTTCTGCCATGAGGGTGGTATCGTCTGCATATCTGTGTAATAGAAAGATATTGTGCTTGCACAAAGCCCAAAACACTTTTAAATTGTTTTCAAAGCTTGCGTTGTCCTAAAATCAAATCTTCAAAGTTGCCTTTTACAAAGTGCTGATGAAACAGGCTTTCTGACCCTCCCTTTATTCTTTTAACCACCATCTTTGATCTTTACATCAGTGGAAGGAACATTACTACAAAGTAAGGAGAGCATGCATCAGGCAGAACAAAGCCTACAGGCTCTCTGGTCATATCCATGAATAAAAGAAATTATTTTTTTATTTACAAGCACGGGACATCTCCAGATCTACATCCCAAAGATGTAAGCCAGTCTAGGAAGTAAAACAAAAAATTCCCAAAGAAGGCAATGTCAAACCACTTCTATACTGCTAAGAAAACTACAAAGATGTGTCCATGGAGCTGCTAGGAGTCAAGCTGAAGTTTAAGGAAACTAACTTGGATCCGAAGATTTGCTTCAACATATGTGGTTAAGGAGGGAAGATTAGCATTTGTAAGTGATGAGGCTTTGACTATTAGTTCTTGGTCTGGTTCTTTTATTAGTAAAAGCAAACAAGAATGATGAGCTTTTTTCTGCCTCGTTTGAAGAAGCTGGAGGTGGGAAGCAGAAGTGTCGGCAGGGCAGAGGATCGAAAAAGGTAAGATGGCAGCCACAGCAGGCAACTGAAGTCTGTCCCTTTTGGACACTTGTGCATTGGGCACACATCAAGGGAGGGGGGCTCTGGGGCCACTTGATGAGGCTGCCATCCCATCCTGTTTGACCCCTGTGGATGCTGCTGATTGTAAATCATCAGTGTTTCCCCTTCTGTACAGGTACATAAGCACCGTCCTACCAAAAGAAAAAGTTACTGCTAGTTAGAAATATAGAATTTATTTCAATGTACATAAGGCAAAGTCCTATTTCTCATACAGTTAAGCGACAAATATACACGCAGGCTGCCAACATAGCCCAGGAAAGAAATTCATTGTGTTCAATATTTCTTTTGCCTGATATTGCATGTATGTATATATGTATGTATGTATGTATATTCCATCCAGCTTTTAGTATTTTGTTATCAAGGGAGCAGACAGAAAAGCAGGTTGGAGCTTTTAAACCCACCGTGTTTCCTTTTCAGGGAAGATGAGAAACAATTGTAAGTTCTTCCAGTTTTAGAAGCATCTTTTGAAAAACAGAAACAGGGGAGGGAATTCTAAGTTTCCCACCGCAACTCCTAAGGACACACTTAGTTATTCCTACCATTTATTCCTTCCCTCAAACGTTTCATTAACAACAGTAACAAAAACACACTCAGCAAAACAACTTTGGAAATGTCAGACCATCTATTCAAACAAATACACAGTGGCCCAGTGCAACCAGGAAGGACTATTTGTTCAAACGTTCTCTAATCATTTAAATGATAGAACCATTATTTGTACAATTAAATAACTTGATTTTTATTATTTTTATATACATTCCCTTTGGGCAAGAATTGCAACCCATTTTAACTATGGGGATTTTTGATTCTGCTTCAAGCTAGTTTTCCAGACACCAAAAGTGGAGCTCATTGGTGAGCAGCAGAAAAACAAGAAAAATGTCTTTTCCACTGCCCACACTTAGAGCTTTATTATTTATTTTCTACATGGGGGGAAAATCCACCCTTTTTGACAGTGATCAGGCATGAGAAACATCAGCTGAGGGAGCTCAGCCCAAGTCTTCTGATCCACTTGACGATGTCCCATTTCCTATTATCATCTTGCTGTAGATTTTCTGTTCCTTTTCCTTAAAAGTTTCCTTCACTTTGGCTCTTTTCAAACCTCCATCCCTTAAAAGAACAAAAAGAGACATCCATGAAATGCAGTTATCTATCCATTACAATATGTTATTAAGAAGGTTGGTGTCACTACTTCATGAAGAAGGCAGGACTAGCTATGATGATGGTCATCTCCATGCTGATCACCTCCATGCTAGTCTACTGCAATTTTGATGCAAGGCTACCACTGAAGAGTGTTCAGTAACTGCAACTACTGTAAAAGATAGCTTTCTAGTATGCTTGTCATACTACTGCACTAGGTTCTTCTTTGTTCTAGGATTAAGTCAAAGTTCTTCTATTGCATATGAACTTGTCTGTAAGTTACAGCCCACATTTGAAATTTTGCTCTATATCCATTTATCATGGAAAGCTCATCTGGTGGGAATCCAAGGGAGGACCTTTTTATGACACCACCCAACTGTTACATTCTCTAAATTAGATCGATCCCATTCCTGATCAATTTAAGTAGGCAGTAACCCCATTTTTATCTTGCATAGCTTGTTTATTTACCAATAAGCATAAAACCGTTTTTTATTGGTTGTAAGTCATTGGTTCTGGATGCATTTAATATTTAAATTGTTTTAGAAGTGCTTGATAAAATTTTAATTCACCTTGGACGATCTTAAAGGCTGAAATGCAATCTAGAAAAATGCAAACACATACCCAAGCAGTGTCCAATAAGCAGGCTATACATTAGCCTATCAATATACTGAATCTTCTTCTGAAGACAATGTGAACTGGCTATGTAATCTAGCATATATCTCTGATCATTTGCATTCTCCAGCATGGCAACAGAAAGAATGTACAGTGAAATCCTGATTTACCAGACCATACAGTCAGAAGGAACTATCTGTTCTTCCTAAATGTCCAATAAATATGGAATTGCATCTTTAACATCAATTTAGTGTTTGAATAATGACATCATTATGCATATTATGTAGTTTGCATCATTTATATAACGATGCAAATCACAGTCATGCCTAATATGGTAAATGTCAAATAAAAAATTAAATGCCTTATTCAGACTACTTTAGATGCAGTGGACATGTCTGCTATTCTGGGGGTGTGTCTGAATAAAAATGCTGTCCATTGTACCTGAAGTCCGCTAAATGTGAATCTGTTAAATCAAGTTTTCTTATAAAGAGGATGATGCAGAAAATACAAAGTTTCTTAACAGCTTTTAAACCACATTTAGATCTCTAGATCACTACTATCCTTCTGTATGTAAGCAATTTTGAATCCACGATCTCCCATTTTACAGCCTCCACAGAATTTCTAGATTGTTCTACTGTACTCAGGCAACAAAACAGTCAATCTATGATTCACAAATATTGCTTGCTGGGCCAAAATAAGGTTAGGTATATATATAATTATATATCTGCAGAGCAGAACACATCCATTTCTAAATTTCTAACACTCAAGTCCAGCCAAACCCTAGATGACTGGGGGGGGAGGGCGCAATGAAAATGTTTCACCCCATCCTTCTACTGATGTAGTTATCATCACCAGAGATGCCCCAAGTTCAAAAACACTGTTTAAAAAGTAAAGTTCATCCATAAAAGGCTGTTCAACCCAGGATAAGGGAAAAGCTCCTTCTCCAAAGCTCATTTGCTTTCCAATTAACAGTATCTTTTTTCTCACCAGGGTAATTCAGAGAGATGCCCCAAGTTCAAAAACACTGTTTAAAAAGTAAAGTTCATCCATAAAAGGCTGTTCAACCCAGGATAAGGGAAAAGCTCCTTCTCCAAAGCTCATTTGCTTTCCAATTAACAGTATCTTTTTTCTCACCAGGGTAATTCAGTAAGGCCTCCTTGGCGAGCAATAGCAGACTTCACCCTGTTGGCAAACTGAACAGCATCTTCTCCTTCCTGCATATAAATGAACAAAAGAAGATATAATCCAGTCATTGACATGATTGCAAAAAGGTAATTCTGTAGCCAGGAGGAAGCAGAGCTCAGAAAGCATTTCTGGATGGGCCAGCCTCAGAAGTTGTAGTAGCCCTCAAAAAGAGTCAATAACATGAATGGGACATACCTCTCTTGTCACTGGTGGCAGGTACCACACATGGCACACGATGGCCCAGCTAGTCATGATTCGCAGGAGGTAACTCAGAATGTTATGCTTGCTGCTGTTCCAGAAGGCATCGCCAAATTGCGGGTCATACTACAACAGAAAGAGCTAGGAGAGTCATTCGTATGCCCAAAGCCATCATACAAGAAGCTGTTTCAGAACATGTCCGCTGACCATGACAACTACAGCAGAAACTTCCAACCTGTGTGCTCCCATTCCAGAAAGGCTGCCTATTTCATGAATCACTGTTTTGGCCTTGTTTCCCATTCATCAGCAAACCTCCTCCAAAAATTAGTAATCTACACTGAAGTTAAGGTATTCCTCCACGTTGATTCAGATTAAAAAAAAAAATTAGCTGATGATCAATAGATTGTGAATCGGGGCAGGGTGGACAACTTGAGGCACTTTGGATGTCACTGAACTGTAACTCCCAGCCTCCCTCATCTTTAGCCATGCTTCCAATAGATGGTCGGAGTGGATATCCAAGGCATTTGGAGAAAGCCTGCTTGGACAAGGCTGGTCTAGCTTTCACCAGGTGGCAAAGCTGAGCAGCTTTTGAGTCACATCAGAAAGATTTCTATTCATATACTATCAACCCCACTAGACTGGCTATAACAACAGAATCTTGCAAGTCTGATTGTGCTGTTCCTCTTCCTCCTCCTCCTCCTCATTCAGTGAATTAGGGAGGTTACTGTCTGACCCATTTCCAAATGTTATCTGGACGTTCTGGACTTTACAAATGTTTTATCCCTTGGCAACGGAGCTTGCATATTTCCATCAAGATCATCTTCCTTATTCTCTGCACATACCTTGATTGCTACGGGATAGATGGTGGCACCTATTTCAAAGCTTCCCTTTTTGAACATCATAACTGAAGTGTTGTTTATGCAAGTGCCTGGACCAAAAAAAAGAGAGAGAGAGAGAGAGATGAACATGTGCTTCCAGTCAAGATATACATAATAAATAGCATGATCTAAGACCCTGCTTCTCTGAGATTCTTGATCATGCAGAATGGAGTTTAAGCAAACACAAATTCAGTTTTCCTTCGGACCACTGACTGAATGGGTAGAGGTCAGGGAGGGAAGGAGAGAGGGAGGGAGGGAGGGAGGGAGGGACTGCATGCATTTGTACCCCACTCTTCTACCTAGTTTGAAATTCTCTGCACCTCCAGCTGAACTTCTAAACTGAACTCATGCTAACCTGCCAACTTCCAGTCAAGGGACAATCACTACCCCAAATATAATACTACTGGGATGCTGAATTATTTCCTCATAATTGATACCAATTTTTTTGTTCCCTTTTGTCAAAAACGGAAAAATAAACAAAAAGTCAAACTACAATACCCTGGTTTTAGGGTAAGCTTAACCTGAATCTTAAAAAGTTCATCTCACTTCCTTGCCTCTAAAAAATTTTGCAAATATTTCTCCTCTAACCTTTTGTTTCACCAAAGTACAAGTGATCTCATAACATTTCAGTGTATGAGAAAGAAGAAATAATTCACCCAGACCTGATCATAAACAACCACACAGAAACAGCTTGAACACAAATGTACATTCTGGTTTGTGGATTTTACCTTCTGGAAAGATTAAGATGGGCAATTTGTCCTTGTTAGCAATGTGTTCCCTTAGTCTAAAAGAAATGGAGAAATATTTCAGGCATTCCCTCAGAATACAGGAGAGATTTTCATAATGGAATCATCTTTCAATGATATCAGAAGATTCATTCAGGTTTTAGAGAAGGCAACAGTAGAAGTTTCAGGGATAGGAAGGAGATGCTAAGCCCAGCTGAGGCCAAAGGCCCATTTTTTTAGGACACAGCCAAAATCAAACTGCTGTAAACATGGCACTTTCTTCAACCTAGTACGTATCAAATGTTTTAAACCACAAATCCCATCAAGTTGGCTGTGTTGATGGGAGTGTAGTCCAAAACCTCCTGACCATGTTTACAAGGCTCTATTGATGCAAGTTAAACGTCCCTATGCCCCCTTAAAGCAGAGGAAGGTGTGCATTCCATAACCTAGTTCTGTGGTCCTATTTAATTAATTTATTTCCTGTCTTCCTGCCATCTTTTGGAGGGTAACTTTTATAAGAATAGCCATTGTATATGAAGACACTGCAACTGGGATTTTTCTGCAGAGTATTTGGATATGGTTGGAAACACAGCAAAACCCCCTCCCATAACTTTCTTAATTTTCCTAGTAGTATCTGAATGAATGACGCAAGATTTTCCTTTGCTTGCACGCAATCAGAGACCCCGGCCAACTCCAATTTCTCCTTCCTGGCTTTCCATTTCCCTACGAGATAGACACAGAGAGAGGATGCAAGCTACAAAAGAAAACCCAACATAAAACTCTGCATTTGGGGGATTAATATCGTTTCTGACATATATCCATGATAAGAACTAGCAATTACAACAATGTTAGAGGCAGAGGGAAGAGAGTCAAGGCTGCTGTTTACCCATGATCCAGGATGAGAAATCCATTCATTTTGTTAGCAAAGTCTCACCTGTAGTTCCTAACCTGACATTCATTGGGCTTCCCGAGAACATTTTCTGAGTTTAACTGATTAGCAGGACAACATAAGAAGTGCTAAGCATACCAAGGTTCACAAATATTTATTTCTTTATTTCTATTTTATTATGTTAAATATGTAAGCCACTCAACACCATTACAACTCTAGGTGGAGAGTCCAGAGTAAAATAAAATATGCAGCCTGAATTCAAGAGCTAGAGAATAAGCTTTTTGCAAAAAAATTTTAAAAAGGGGGGGGGGGGAGAAACACTCTACCTTTTTGTCACTAGATGGCGATCTTTTATTTCAGAACGCTCAAACCAGATGTGGGGAGAGGCCTTGACTGTGGCTCTTTGAATGACGCCCATTACACCCCCATGAGACTGTCCAACCTGGAAATTCATTCCCACCAAAAAAAAAAAAAAGACAGTTAAATAACAATTTATGAGATGGGCGGCCATATACATTTGATTAATTAATTAATTAATTA